AATGTTGAAATGCATTTGAAGCAAAGTAGAGGATGATGTTTTTAAAACTGGGAGGAAAAAAATTTCGCTCCAAGATTATGAAGATCTTTTTCTGTTTTCTTTTAGAAGTTTTATCTTTTGCATTCGGGTCAAGATCCATTTTGATTTAATTTTTGGTGTGGCCGTGAGGCCAAGTACTGTCTATCCTTGGCCCAATGGAGAACCTGGTGTCTTCACTGGACAGGTCCTGAGTTCCTATTTTCATCTCCTGAAACTGCCAGAAACTGATGATTATCAGAGGCTTTCTACTTCAGCTTTTTAACCTCTGCTCCTCATATACCCTCCATTCAGCACAAGCTTTGAAGGAAAAGCCCCGTGTGTGTTTGAAAACGTTCAGGTCTCTTTTAGAAGTTCTCTGGCTTCTCTGTCCTCAGATTCTGAGTTCTGCCATCAGCTCACCTCTCTGCTCTCTCCAGTCTTAGCTCCTCCATTTTTCTTCGCCTTGACAGCCTGCCACTACTTTCAAACAGGTGATTTCTGCATTTAATTTGGCCTTTCTTGTTTTGCTGCTGTTCCAGGTGATGTGAAGTGACAGTGCACAGTTACTCCGTATCACCTGGAACAATGGAAACATTTTTAATTGCAATTATGTAAAGCAATAAAGAAAAAAAAACCATAATGCTGTTATAAGAGGGAATATTAGCAGTCTCTGGCTGAAATTCACTGTCTTTTGTAGAAACACTGTGGTTTATCATTATCATACCTGAGCCTTCAGCATTATAGACACAGAATTAGTAAAAGAAGCCAGCCTCTAAACTTCTCATTCCACTTCCCCATCAGCCCTTCATTTGTAACAAGTAATTTAACCTATCTAGGCACCAGTTTCCCTGGTTCTGGTATTTATTCTTCATCTTAGTGGCAAAATCCTGTCTTAAGTGCTTTAAACCCTTGGAACAAAAGGCAACCTTTGACTGACTTGGCCCATTTAAAAAGAGGTACCATAGAAGTTCTCTTCACTCATTTAAAATGGTGTGTAGGGTCTGGGGAAGGGGCAGAAGGGAAAGAAAAAAATGGCATGTGTATGATTGAAAAATCAAGACAATTTTGTTTTTTGTTCATTTGTTTTAGAAGAAGAAATTCCCACAGGGCCATATACCACCAAAAGCTACTAAGATGTAATCCCTTGAAAGATATCTAAGGCAAATGTCACTTTGCCTTCATGCCATTTCTTCTGTGGTTCCGTTCACATCTGCTCCAGCAGTCTGGGGTGAACACAGATTTATAAGAAGTCATTTGTACAAAATAAAATTAAAAGCCACAAGTTAGCATAAGATTAAGGCTGAGCTTAACTTGATAATATTTAGTGTACTAGGAACTCCATAGTTTAGCTTTACTTTTTTCTCTCTCATGGTTGAATTTGCAACTGATGATGCCAAGTGATCAAGAAAGGAGTATTTTAAAAGAGCGGAGGAGCGGGCAAGCATGGAGGCAGGCTGGACAGTCATCTCTATCCTTAGATAAGGATGGGGATGGGTGGTGCCTCCTACTGGCTGTATTCCTGCTGATAGAATTCTGTAACAGTGTAGGGCAGCAGGGACCTTAGAAAATCTGAGTGATCACCCCTTTGGGAGGAAAAAAATGCATAATTAATTAAAATTCCCCTCTTAAGTAGAGTCAGAAGAAGATGAATGCTGCCTACATGGGAGTCAACACCCAGAGATAACCTCAGTTAATAGAGGATGTAATGGCTCAGAAGATAAACAAAATAGAGTGTAGGAGAATTCTAAGAAAAACAAACGAAGGGAAATAGGGAGGGGATAAAGCAGAGAATGAGTTGGGAGGAAGCGACTACTTGGGGACAAGCCAGGGAAAAATGTTGGGGGAGAAAAGGAGCTTAGAAAAAGCCGGACACTTGCTGGAGTGGGGGTGGGGCCATTAGCATTCACTAGAAAAGCATCTCCTGCAAAGGCTTGGACCCTGACTTCTTCATTTAATATTTGGGATATTTCTTTTGGGATTTTTGGCTCAAGGAAAATAGCAGAAACAGCCATGTGCCAAACAGAGAAAAGCCCCAAATAGGGGCAGAAAACCTAGCAGAGACACACTCTCAAGAGACTTCCCTCTTTCTCTCTCCATCCTTTTGAATTCTCATCCTCTCCCTCAATTTTTGCCATGTTTCCTCCATTCTTTTATGAAGCTCTCCCATCTTGTCCCTTCTGATATTTCTTACTCCCATCCAATTGCCATTAGGAATAGCAATACGAAGTAGAATAATAGTAATAAAAACAAAGGTGATGATAACATATATTACATGTATTTGATTTATTATATGTACCAGTATACTATATTCTATATATGAATGCATAGTATATTATTTAACAGTTGAGAATAAGCATATATCATTCTGAAGTGTCTTCTCTGTTTTATTGTAAGATGTGAATGGTCCCTGGATTTGAGTTTTAACTTGGCACTTGAAGATTCACACTGTTTTTAAAGGCATTCTAACTCTTGCTGCATCTCAGAATACCCATTCCCAAAACTGTACAATCTCTGTTATTTTGAAATACGTATTTTCTATATTATAGCACTATGAAACTGTTAAGCAAGTTGCAATCATAAATATAATGATACTTTGTACTTTTAAAGTGCCCCATGCTCTTCGAGCCAGAGTTTCTCCAGGCAAGCAGGCAAGCACAGCCAGCACTACCCACCAGTGAAAAACAGAAATATAAAAGTTAAGAGCTTGAGCCAGTGCCTTAGAGCAAGTCAGAAATAAAGCTGGAATTTAGGGAAATATCTTACACTGGCCATTGGACTTCCTGTCCTGGGAAACATTATAAAATGAGAAAAATTAGAAATTAGAACTGAGGAAATATTTTAATCAAGCTTATATATTTACCAATTAAAAGCTAACATTTCACAAATAATGCCATTTAAGAGTAGTACTATAAAAAAGGTGTGGTTTTTGTTTTAATAATTTGCTTGTTTAGCTCTCATTAAAATTTAGTGTAAGAATGAAGAAAGTGAAGTGAGCTTAAGAACAATTATTAAATTTGTTTTATTTAAGTGCAGATGTATGCTGGCAAATTCCGTGCTAGCTATCATCTACCTTTTTGGAAGGGATAAAAGATCAGTTAAGATGATGTCTGTAATTTTCAAGTGTTTAAAGCTTTTTTGTTTTTTGTTTTTTGTTTTGTTTTGTTTTTTTGTGTTTTTTTTGAGATGAAGTTTCGCTCTCTCCCAGGCTGGAGTGCAGTGGGACAATCTTGCCTCACTGCAACCTCTGGCTCATTGCAACCTCTGACTCCTGGGTTCAAGGGATTCTCCTGCCTCAGCCTCCTGAGTAAACTGGGATTACAGGCACACACTACCACGCCAGGCTAATTTTTGTATTTTTAGTAGAGGCAGAGTTTCACCATGTTGGCCAGGCTGGTCTCAAACTCCTGACCTCAAGTGATCTGTCCGCCTCGGCCTCCTAAAGTGCTGAGATTATAGGCACGCGACCCACGGTACCCGGCCTAAGCTGCTATTAAAGATAAAGCAGTGTGCTTTATGTTTAAAAGACTTTGTGCAATGGTCAAACAGGAAATTCAGAGTCCTGGATCTTGTTACATAATAGGGCCAATATGAGCTGGAGGTTGCTAGGCTGACATTTTACTTGTCCAGTCCAGACACTGCTGGAGAACTGAAGTCTGACACTATTGCTGGAGGGAGGGTAGTAAGGTGAGAAGGAACTGGGAATCAGAGCCTGGAATTTGGCCTGGTGTTTGCTGTGAAGTTGTGTCAGACCCACAGGTGTGAAAACAACCCACAAATGCAAACTGTCAGTGGCCATCTTTGCACCTCCCACCTTTCACTAGTGAATTGCTAGACTGTAGACTTCAGGTTCGGTGCCTCTTTGTAACCCACAACTTTTAGCACCAGGCCAAGAGTACGTGTGGAATGAAAACTGGATTTGAGGTCAGATGACATGCATTTAGGTTCCATCCTGGCTGAGTGGGCTTCAGTAAGTCACTTGACCTCTTTGGACTCTAGCTCACCTTGTATGTAAGAAAGATGACATGAATATCTTAAAGAATTGTTGCTTCAATACATGAGATACTGGATCTGGCAGAAGAGCTTTGTAAACTGTGAAGTACAATGGAAATGTTAGTTACTGTTAAGTAAATGGAGCATTAACTGTGTCACTCAATAACCATACACTGATGCCTTCTGCTCCTACTTGTCCTTTGCACCTAACTCTGGAGAGACCTCTTCAAGAAGCTATAAAATGTTATATAGCTGGCCCCGGAGGGCCAGCTTCACGGGCATATGACCTGTGCAGTCTCACAGGTTCCCATGCTCAGAGTCCCAGTGTTTAGTTTAACGCTCTGGCTGGCCTCTTAATGTTCTCAATAATTTTTGAATAAGGGGCTAGTGTTTTCATTTTGCACTGGGCTTTACAGATTAGGGAAGCAGTGGTGCCTGCCATTTATTTCTAACTTAGAATAAAATCCCTAATTTTAAATTCCTTGAAATTTGCATAATGTTTTGTTTTGAGGATCTCTGTGTAGCAAATAATTATAAATTAATATTTCTGGTTAAAATACTTTATAAACTTTTAAAGTATAATATATAATAGTTTCTATTATATATTAGAGTTTATATTATATATAGTTTATATGATATATTTTATATATCGTTTATATTATATAATAGTTTATATCATATATATCTTATATAGATAAAACTATTGTGTATACATAGAGAGGGTGAGAGTGTGTCTTGCATGTGTGCATTTTCTAGGTAAAACAGAATGCAAAATAGTGACCCAGTGATTGGGATTACTACTATTTTCCATCTAAATGATCTTGATTCTGAATTTCTAAAGGAAATATTTCTTTATATCCCTAACACAAGTGCCAAGCACATTGTGAATAGTCAAGAGAAGACAGTGGAATGTGTGAATGACATGATGTATACGTGACATTCTATTGTGACAGACATTCTCTTTGGATGACAAAAACAATCTTATACGGTGATAGTTTTATTTCATTTATTGTGGCTTATACTAAGGGTATTTGACTTTCAAACACCAGTTAGTGCAGCTTTCTTAAAATTCTTTTACATTATCCCATCGAAACCTTAGGCTCTCTAGGAAAACAAATATACTTTGTTTCTAATCATAGACAAACCAGATATTCTTGTCAAGGAAAGTTATGCTGTTTGGCTTTGTTGGGTGTGTCACTTGGCAATAAAATGATACTCAAATACTTTTAAATTACATTTAATTTTTTTTCAATTATAAGTAAAGTTGGCTCACCTCAGCTATACCTTTGTAAGGGGTGGACATTTCTGCAGGGGGAGGTAAGTAGTGGTAATTTGGAACAGAGAGTTTGTATTAGTTATCTATAGCTGCATGAAAACTTGTGAAAAATGTGTCAGTCTGGTATTTGTCTTTCACACTGTTTCTGAGGGTCAGGAATCTGGGAACAGCTTAACCAACTTGTTCTGGCTCAGGGTCTTCCATGAAGCTGCAGTTGAGCTGTTACATGGTCCACTGGGCTGCCCAAGTATCCACGAGACTGGCCACTGGCTTCCACCAGAGTGAGTGATCCAAGAGAAAGCAAGACAGGGCCAAATGACACCCATAATCTCGCCCTCAGAGTGGTACAGTATCACTCCTGCACTCTATTGGTTACACACCAACCCTGACAGTGTGGGAGGGGACCATGTTAGAGTGTGAGTATCGGAAGGCAGAAATTGCTGGAGACTATCTTAGAGGCTGGTTACCACAGGGCGGGTGGGCAATGGCATATTCCTGAGTTCCACTCAATCCCCTGCAAAAGAGGGGCAGTTTCCAAAGTTTGTCTTCTTAGAAGCCCCACACAGCAATTTGAAAACATGGGAGATCATCCTCTGGTGAATTTCCAAGCCTTGTCAATGTATCTATAGTAGATACTGAATTGAGGGTGACAAGCTTGAAAGAACAAGCATCTACATAAATGAGACCGTGTGAAGTGGCCCTACTTACTATGCTCTTATTGCCATGTTAAGTGCCACCAGATTGAGGGTGCAGGTTGTCATAGAGAAAGATAAGCAGAAACAGCATGGTGTGATGGATCACCAAGCAGTGGGAAGTGAATTCCAGACTCTGTACTGTGAATTTAGGGCTTCCTGCTAGTTTGCAAGAATGCAAAGCTTCCTGAAGGTAGGGGCAAAGGGTTGGTGGAGAACTGAATAGAGGAGTTGACAAGGAGAGGTGATAGGCCTACAGAGAGGCAGGAAGCCCTGAGCAACACAGGAAAGAGCTAGAGGCTGGTTTAGCAGCCTCACAGGCTGGGATGAGGCTGACTTCTACTTTCAGGAAAAGGCATAAAGGCTCCCACCTACCTTTTACATCAGGAAGATGAGGGGAAAACAGCTATCAGTAGAGGGGAAGCCAAAGGCTTGGGCATTTATCAGGCACCCACCTTAGGCGATGCACTTTCCATGGTTTTTGATGAACTCCCCACATGACTGGGAGAACAGAGTGTGGTATTCTCTTCTTTACAGAAGCTACAGAAGCAGGTCTTGAACCCAGGATCATTTGCATCCAAATCACATAGTATTTTCACAAAACATTGTTGCTGTTGGGTGCCTCAGCTGGAACCTGTGAAAAACAGACGGGACTCCCTGGTGACTCAGAATGAGAGGAGGGAAGGAGGACACTGTGTAGTCAGCATATGGCCATGGGGTAAACTTCCTCCTTTCTGTTCACAATCCTAGGAGGCAGACTTTGACCCTCATAAAGGCACAGCTGTCCAGTCTCTGCCCCGCCTCTAGTTCTCCAGACAAACCTGGCATGGACCAGGTTCAGGGTGCCCTGTGGAAGCAGGGGGAGAGTACTCCTGTTTCACAGTGGTAGCATTTGCTCTAAGTTACTTTAAGTTTAAAAAGTGATTTCTCTTTTGGAGATGAGAGTGGCAGTTTACAGAAGAGAGAATAATTACATAGGCAAGAATGTGAAAAGAAGGACCAGATCACAGTGTGGAAAATAAAACCGGAGAGACATTTGCTCCTTAGAGAGAGTAGGGTAGACAGCACCGACAGATAGGCTCAAATTCAGGCACCACCTTGAAGTGGACTTGTGACTTAGAAGAACAAATGTGAGTTCCAGGTCTTACCTGCTATATGGATATGATGATGCCCACTTCTCTGGAACACAGTTTTAAAGGAGGTAACTTTAAATAGTGCTGTAGGTAGTATGTAGTAGGTGCTATATAAGTTGTAGTTACTTTTATTAAAGTGAATTTTTCCCTCCAACAAAAGATTTACATAGAGTCCAACTATATTCATCTCGGGCTGAAAACTTAACTTGGCATTCTTGGGCAAATGCCGAATAATGGTGGAGTGTGCACCCACAAATGCCTACTGTGCATTCTTAGTTACATGCATATCGTGGTGATGGGAAGGCAGCTTGGACTAGGCAGGAGACATGAATATTCCCCAGAGTTAGAAAAAAACACAGAGAACTAAGTTTGTTTGTTTGTTTGTTTATTTATTTATTTATTTAGAGACAGTCTCACTCTGTCACCTAGGCTGGAGTGCAGTGGTGTGATCTCGGCACACTGCAGCCCCCACCTCTCGGGTTCAAGTGATTCTCTCACCTTGGCCTCCCCAGTAGCTGGGGTTATAGGCGTCTACCACCACACCCAGCTAATTTTTGTATTTTTAGTAGAGACAGGGTTTTACCATGTTTTACCATGTTGGCCAGGCTGGTCTCGAACTCCTGACCTCAAGTGATCTCCCTGCCTTGGAAGATTAATTTAAAATGTTATCTTCTGCTGAGAGGGATGGCAAGCTGGAGGAATTGGGATAATGATGGCATGTGGGATGGTGTGAGGGAGTGGATGTGGGATAAAACAGAGCTCAGGCAGAAGATGGGATGTCGTTATGGATCTGAAGATGCTTTGTAAAGAATGTGTGTCATGCACATTATTGGTGGGACCCACCTCATGCTATCAGTGTGTTTGTGGCAGAAGAAGGAAGGATGGAACACAAGGTTCCTAAAACCCAGCCAAACGTGTGTTCCTGTATCATGCCATCTTGGCAATGTGGATGCCACATTTCTTCTTTTGACATTTCATGGTTATTTAGAGTTTAGCTGTAGCACAGCCTGCATATGTCTGATGCCTGGTGGGAGAAAGTGAATTAATTAAAGTCCCCTCGTGCTGTTATTAATCTGTTTCTCTACAATTTTTATAGGAAGGCCAAGTCATCAAAGAGAAACCAAGACTTTCCTCAGTGGAGAGCTTGCATGGGGAAAGGAAGCTAAGCCTCAGGAGAAAAGTTTAGGAGATAGAGCTTTGGGGGACAGGAACAGCTGAACCTGAGAGCTGTAAAGCTTGTCTCCGGTGAAGGGACTGGGAACATCTGTGGGGTGAAGGATGCTGATGGGAGAGGTTCAGTCAACCAAAAGGAATCTTATATAGCTTGGCTTTCACTATATAAGTGGACTGAAAGAGCCTTTAAAAAAAAAAAATAAGAATAGACAGAGAAGATGATGAAGAAAACAAGATTACTGGGGAACGAAGATTGGAAATTAGTCTCAATACTACTTTGTAGTTATGTCTCTATTTTAGAACTTTTGGCTTAAACTAAAGGTAGCAAAATATATAGTTTATGCTCTAATGTAGATTTAGTTTTTATCAACAAAAAATTTGTGTATGACATTAAAGAGGATACAGGTTCAGATAAATATTAACCATTTATTTATTAAACTTACCAACTATGATGTAGCAGAATATTTGCAGTTACAATTAAAGTGAGGTACCTAAATCAACTGTTTTCAGCTTTGCAATCAACATTCTAGCATCTGATTATGTAGGTCTGATAATTTCCTGCAAAATTCCCCCAGTTTAGATCTATTTCTTACACTACCCAGCGTGCAGATATTTTAGAAGAAAAGAGCAGAGAGAAAGCTCAGTGCTGGGAGCAGTGGCCCAGGCCTGTAATCCCAGCATTTTGGGAGGCTGATGCGGGTGGATCACTTGAGGTCACGAGTTTGAGACCAGCCTTTCCAACACAGTGAAACCCTATCTCTACTAAAAAATACAAAAAAAAAAATAGCCAGGCTTGGTGGCATGTGCCTATAATCCCAGCTACTTGGAAGGCTGAGGCAGGTGCCTGTAATTCCAGCTACTTGGGAGGCTGAGGCAGGAGAATTGCTTAAGCCCAGGA